TCAAAAAACAAGATTCCGATAATATGAAGAAAAATTCTTCGGAATCCTATTTTCTGATTGATTGCAGATACGTACATACGACGAAAATCTGATGCAATGTGAATCCAGCAATTGCTTGAGATTAAAGCTGCCTTCCTATGGAGAAATAAACCACGGAACGGAATATTGACAGAAAAGAGATAGGATGAGGATAACTCTCGTCTTATCTCTTTTCTGTCAATATTCCGTTCTGTTATTTCTTTCTCCATGGGAAGGCAGCCTAAGACCGGACTAGGACTATTTGGGACTTTTGGGAGTCGATTGTGTATCTTGAAATGAGGTGAAAATTCCAAAAGTTAGCAAATTCACTAATTATTGACCAATTAAATTATGAATATTCTAATGAATTTGCTCACTTTTGTATTTTTCACCTCATTTCGAAATACACAATCGACCCCCAGATTAAAGCTCTATATATCAAAGTAGCGCTTTTGATCTGAGCCAAATGCCGACAACCTTCCTATTGGCTATTTCGACCGCCATTTCAATTTAATCGTCTGCTAGTCGTCTGTAGTCCAATAAGCACTTAGTATTATTAGTATAGGGTATGGTTAGTAGGTCCAACATGGAGGACCTATGCGCTACTTTGATATATAGAGCTTTAACTCAGATAAAAGGATTGCGCATCTAGCTTTACCGAAGAATAGTGTTCTTGGAAACACAATAGTCAGGAATAGACATGTTTCATTTTTTTTAATTTCAAAGTTTTTTTATGTCTGTAAGTTAAAAAACGATCTATATGGGAGCTTTCCAACAAGAAACACAGAGCGACGCGGTGTGACACAGTGAATCGTTGCATCGTTATTGTTCGCCAATATTAAACAAGGATGATCGCTGTCGCACAGTGTCGCTTATTGGAAAGCTCCCTATGACTATACATGCATGTATGTATTTTTCAATAATTATTTTTTAATCAAATAAAATGGAAATTTTATATCAATTGGAATTTTTACATTAAAAATAAAACGTGCATATAAAGCTGGTTCTACATTAGTCGCATCGCAGCGTCGCAAGCGTTGCGGTTCAATCAACGTCAGGCTAGCTCGATTCTGATTGGACTGACACGCTTGCGACGCTGCGATGCGAATAATGTAGAACCAGCTTAATGTGTATTCCGTACGCATTATCAATGGCTGCGTTCAGCAGACTCAACAGTTTTGCAACCGTTTTATGATTGTCTGCTGAGATAGGACCATTCTTCTAGATCTAAAAGTATGATCCAATTAGCGCGAAGGAAACTTCCAACAGTTGCAAAACAAACGTTCTGCTGAACGCAGTCGTTCTGCTGAACGCAGCCATTGTGTATATATACTTCCAACTTTTCCCGCACAACGGCACTAAAATCGCATCGTCCCGATTTTCCATAAATTTTCCGAAGCCATGTTTCATCCTCGAGTTTGATGATTGATCTTGATCTTTTTACTCCGTGATGTTACATATGTATGTACATTCATACGTACAATGAAGTATCTGTCAAATATATTGTTTATATTGACTTGGAGTTTCGCGATTTCACCGGTAATATCTGTGTTTTGCATTAATTCTATATCTTTCCCTGGCAAAAATTTTTTTCAGAATTTTTTATATAATTTTTCAGAATTTCTATATAATTTTATAACTTTCTTACATTTTTTTATACGAATTGGAACACCTCTCAGAAAATCTACATCTTTTCTCAGAATTTTCCATATATGTTAATTATGAAATATCGTAAGATATTATAATATTTCTAAGATTTTTTGTAAGTATAATTTCTGATAAAATATAGAATATAAAAAATTAAAAATATTTTTTAAAAATTATGGGATGA